GGGCGCTGGGGTAACGAAGAAAGCGCGTTCACGTACCTGCGCGTGAGCGTCCATCGACGATAGAGACTTCCAGCGGCGCGGCCCCAGGCGGGTGTCCACGGTTGCACGCGCCGGTAGCGGCGCATCGCCGAGTGTGGTCCCTGAATTTGAATTGAATTCCAAAAAGGACCGATCTCGGCCATCGATCTTCGCAGATTGACGGCCTAGATCGGACCTTTTTCTTTCCGAAGCCGGTGGGGCCTTTCGGAGTTCCGGAAGAGTGAGGTTGCCCGCCGGGGTGATTAAAACCTCCTATGGTCCCAAACTCCGAACCCGGCCCTGCGCATGTTTTGCGCAGGCCACATGAACGTGTTTTCCGGTTCCATAGGGCCTCGGGTTGGTCTGATGAAGCCACAAAGACGGACCTACGCGCACGGCTTGGACGACCACCCTAAGTGAATGAAAATTTGGATCATCCCGTCTTCTCTTCGATTCTCGGGAACCTTCTTCTTCTCTCCTCCTCATCTATGCCCCTCACTACCCAAACTGTGTACCATGCAAGCGCGAGACCGAGACCGGCCGGCGGGCAGGGCTTGAAGCGCACTGAATGAAAAGGATTGTGAACGGGCCTGGGCACACCTGTGACGCGCAACCTCATGCCCTGCGCTGTCTTCCGTTCGGAGTGTTAGAGGTGCAGAAAGAAGGCCCCGGAAAACAGCAAGATGGGGTGTGCCAAGGATTTTTTAGAAATTGAGTGTGGGGACACAGACAGAACTGAACTCCCCCGTGTTGGTCTGATGAAGTGAGAGAACTGGTCCGTTGCGACACGGGTTTCGAAGAAGCGCGCGCGCGGGATTTGTGACGCGGGGAAGTTCAATTTCAATCCAGAAAATACTGTCGGACCTCCCACCGGGTCACGGCTCTTCGTTTGGAATGAAAGGGGGCGGGCACGTACTTAGTATCCCGCTTTCGGACTAGCTCCCGACGCCGCTCGTTACACAATTCCGAATCTGACGTGGATGGCATTAATCGTGTGGCCCTTTTCTTATGCTCGTTCTCGTCCCGTGCTCGGTAGTGGAAGCCCTTGGATTGGTAGTGATCGAAGCATTGGCAATCACTACACAGGGTGTTAGGCCAATGGGGCGCCACTGCCGACCAAGGGATGACGATTAACTCGTTAAATGGTAATAATAACGAATATGGCGGAAAATGCGTATCGATAATAACAAACCCAGAACACCGATTTTCAGGAGGAAAATAACATTGTCCACCGATCTTTGCGACGGCTTCTCGCACGTCCCACTCACACACACGCGGCCTTTCCTCGTTATATGGGAAGGGGCGAGGTGGGGATACAAGAGGCCGGCGCCTAGTCAGATTGAGCCCGTCAGTCCACATGGCAATCAATCAGACACCAAAGATATCCTCAATCATTCATCACAGATTCAGAGCCAGAAAATACACAACTTATCGATAGACCAGAAGGATAGCGTGAAGATTCCAACAGAAAACAAAGAGGGAAAAGAGAGTTCAGAGAGAGAGAGAGAGGGAGACGAGGACTCGTGTATAATGAGGTGCGATCACTGTTCACGTGTACTGATCGCACGTGGCTTTGAAGTCCCTCAATATTTTACGACGGTATGCTGCATAGGTTACGTAGTATCACAACCTCAACAGATTTAAACACTCTTGCATTCTCGAAAAAATTCCCAACAACATTGTCTCTGTCTTCGATCTTGTCGGATGGTGTCTTAATCAAAGGGAAAACGAATTCCGTGCTTATATGCATACATTCACTGTGGAAGGTGCGAAAGCCGGCCGCCGTGCAATGCCTCTGTCTTATTGTGTCAAAAGCGAGCATTCACAATATTTTTCGATGGTTGTTATACGCGCATCCACCGTTCATAAGACAAGGTGATCGAGTCTCAGCAGGTCCGGGGATTACCCAAGAAACTAATGGAAGAGTTCCGGAAGAAGTTCTTCCGAGCATACATTCACACGTGCTCATTCCATCACAAACCGAAAGATCGACTCTCATACATGATTATTCATATCAGCGAGAGAAAAGAAGGAGAGGGAGAGCGATAGAGACATGCGAGAATATCACGCCAGAAAGGAAGAAGAAGAGGTCACACTGGGAACGCAAGAGAGGGTCCGGCTTTACCGCCGCGAGCTCACACCAAAGAATGGACTCGCATCAAGAAGGCGTACTCGCCGTTAAACTCCAACATGGCCCCGGGTCAGTCATCCACTCAACTCAAATCACTCGTCTTCATCCGTGCACCGACGATCCCGACCGTCATGTGTCACCATCCAATAATGCGGCCGTCACGCCGCCACCCTAGCCTCGGCCTGGCTTGCCTGAATCCCACAGTCCGTCGTGGCGATCCAGCGCACAACCAGCCAGTCTACAGTCAGCTCGTCAGGACTTTCCGACTCGCATTACACCCATCGTCTAGCCACTGCTTCCCGGAAGCTGGCTGACGAGTTGAGAGAGCATTTTGCGGGGCGCCGGCGGAATTTATAGCTGCGAGAGGGGGAAGAAACGCGGAGAAAGGCAAAGGGTGAGGCAGAGGAGGGTATAGGAGAGTTTGAGAGTGATCACCCGTCGAAAGCCATGTTGATCCCCCTTAACTCGACCTTAGCCAATCAAAATCGTCGTGTAGTAAGAACTTACACGGCACTTCTCCTTGGCTAGATGGGGAGAGAGGATCGACTGGGTTTTCGAGCGCGGATCTTAGAGCGGAAAGAAGAGGAGGGCGAAGGATAGCGCGAGACGGGTCCAAGATTCAGATGATCAAGAAAGAGAAAATGGCGCACGCTGGAAAGGGGAGGGAAAAATAGTTACAGGGGGAAGGAGCGAGAAAGCATATCCGCGCGAAGGGAGGTGTTGAGAGGGGCGTAGGGAGGAAGGAGGAGGAAGCTTGCTTGCATGGCGCCGATCGGCAAAAAGGAGAATGGGCACCGAAACAGTTGCAGTTTTCCCAATCCTACGCTAATTCAAAAATTGAAATCACCATATCCGCGTGAAAAGTTGACGTGGGAGAAGAAAGAAAGTCCTATGCTTGCCCGTATTCCTACAAAATTCCCAGAATCTTCCATGTTGAGGCCGAGAACATTTGCGCGCGAAAGGTCTCGCCGCGCTCCGTCGATTCCGGAATTCCTAACTGTCGAGCCAAATTCCGAGCGAGCTCGCTAAGGCGCGCGAAATTCCAAGCATTTTCAAATTAAAAGAAATGACAGGATTTCAAGAACTTCTATACAAATTTCCAACGAAGTACCTTTAACCGAACAAAAACAGAGGGCGGGAGAGAGGGGGGGGAGGTTCTCGGGGTCGAACTGTTCACATCTGGATGCAGAGAAAACACGGGAGAAAGGGAAGGGGTATGAGAGATGGCGCAGGTCCAGAAGCTGGTACGTCATGCACCACTCTTGAAACGGGCCCAATCTCGGGACGTCGCCACGCTCCACTTAGCACAGCAACAACGAACACCCCGACTGCCGCCAGCATTCTGCTGTGCACACCTCCAAACCCACTTCGGCCCGGCCTTCCGAAAATCGCACCCTCGCGCGATATCGCCCGAAATGGAAAACCGGCAGCCGTCCATGAAAACGGTCCGCCGACCGCTTTTCGTCACTGGTGGTCTGCCCCCCTCCAACCGCACTTGCGACCACCCGGCCTACCGGTTTGTTCCCCGACAGCGACCACAACTTTCAATTACCCATGTTACCACCCTATAAACCCCTTTCGCCCTCGTCAACATTTCCTGAAAAAGACGTCTTCGCTACGCGACAAAATGCAACCGAGTATAGCGCAGCCTCCTGGCTGCGAATTGCATACTGGTGCCCCGACGCCTTCCCTGCCCCTTCCTCTCTCTCTTTGATCTCTGCTGCTATGCTGCGCAAGCTACAACCAAAGACTGTGGTGCCAAACAGGTGCCCAAGGACAGGCGGAGTGACGGGCGGGGGTGGAATTAGCAGTAGACTCGGGGTAAAGCAGTCAGAGGGACTGAGCGGTGGTGGAGATGGGAATGCCACCAGTGGCAGGGCCTTGTGGCTATGGCTGGTCTGCGTTCGGCCGGGTTTGGTGGTTGTGCATGCGGAATGCCAGCACTGTTGGGATTTTTAAGAGTGAGGGACTCGCTTCTTCTCCATCGCTGCTTTGTCCATTGGTTGTGAGCGCTAGTCCGTCGTTTGTATGGCTTCTGTTGTCTTCCGTTGTAAGTGTCTATGGATGCTGAATGGTTCGCCGTCAGAAAGTCCTTGGATGTATGGGTATTGAAGGTGTGTGGTGTCTTCCTCTTGCTGAGTGCACGAGTGTGCACCTGGGGCATTTGGGTGATTGGTTGTTTGCCTGAGTGCATGAGTGGGCTCATACCCTCTTTTCCCTCCCAATTAATTACTGATTCCCATGCTTAGAGCGCGCGTGAGATTGTCGCCGGCCTCCTCCCTCCCCCTTCTCTGTCTGTGCAAGTGCCACATGTCAACTTCTCCGTTCACACGGGAGTACGCGCAGGTGACCAGGGGCATCGGGTGCATGGGTTTAATTGCTCCACCTGAACTCTCTGCAGTCGGCCGTCACTGTTTTGCAAAGGTGGCATTTTTGTTGGGGTCAACACCATTGGTGACTGGTGTTCCTCCAGGGGGATTGGGCACAGTGGGACGAGTAGAGACTTGCATGGAGTCCCACTCTGAACGTGGGCGCGTCCTTGCAGCGATCGCCCATAGTGACCTCCGGCCCTTTTCGATCTCAGATGAGGACGGCCTTTACTGCGACGCGGATGTAAGGAGGGTGCTATTGTGACCGTTCGGGTTCACCTGTATAACTATGTGGATCGGGGTTCGTTTTCATAGATTGGTTTGATTCCTTGTTGCTGATTTTGCCAAATGGTGATCTGACCATGCTCCCCTGGTCCGTGGGGCATGCCACATGGAAACCTCAATTTAACTGTCAGTGGTGCTGGCTAAGAAACTCATGTTCCTGGCTGAGGTTGGTGCTGGGTTCGAAGGGGTCTGCCCGGTTCCTGGATCTCTCCCATAACACGGGGGCTCTTCCAGCAAACTTCCGGACCTTGGTACCCCTGCCCCCGCCCCTGTCAGACGACGGCGGATCGAGCCGATC